ACGAAGCCATGAGGATGTGTCAGTCAACGTGTAGATTACAGTAGATTAAAAAAAATCTAATGACGTATAAGTACATCCTGGGACAAGGACAGTGGTTCAATGTCCTCATCTAACTCGACTCCACGTAAATGTGCGTACAGATGTCTGGAAATTTACCCTCCAGATGTGCAAACGCCAGTTTCAGATCGTCCCGTGATCTGAAAAGATGAAGTGGATCCCTCCGCATCTCTCCGCATGCCACCTGGAGCTGTGCATTTCTGTAAGATTTTATTTTATTCATGTGGTAAAAAGGTTAGCTCATTCAATGCGGAGCAAGAACCCTGCACACGCGAACGCCAGCACACGTCACGCACACACACACACACACACACACACACACACACACACACACACACACACACACGCATGCGGCACTCTCTGAGGACTTTGCCTTCTTCTGAGATGAGAGACTATCTGCTTACACTAGTTTTTCTGTATGCATATATTACACAGGATTACTGAGCTACAGCTTCTTTTTTATGTGGTTCAGACTCTTACTCTCACATTAATGTGCATTTATACACACACACACACATACAGACACACACACACACACACACTTAAAGAGTTAAGCTTCCTCTGTATAACGTCATGATAGGAGTTAAAGGAACTGGATTATTACGTAATTCTTATTCTTTCTCCTTTCCACCCATACGCAAGCTGTCTCAGTTCACATTTTGTTGGATTTATCTTTTTTCTTTCTTTTTGTTTCTTGTTTTTTTTTCTGTTTCTGATTAGAGCTGGCGATTTGAATCCCAGTAAGAATTCCCACAGTCTGTCTAATTCCTGTTCCTATCTAAAGCTGGGAGGGGGAACCAGTAAGCTGATAAACCCCCCACCGGCTATACAAACACACACACAAACTGACCTACACGTGCAGTGTCGACACTTGTGTGATTTTTTTTTTTTATCTCTCTGTTGGATTGGCACAAATATGTTGGTTTAATGTGTACGCTCAAATGTATAAATATTAATGCTCGCACTTCACTTGCATTAATACTGGATATGTGTGCACACGCTCACTCATTCTCTCTGTTATCAAAGGCTCTGCTTTTAGAGAGATAAAGAGGAAATAGAAATGAAGACACAATGTTTGATAGTGCTAAAGGATCTCAAAGATTAGAAGAATCAGAGGGGGGGTTTCACATGACATTTTACTGGGTCTCTATTATCCAGAAAGGGAAATATACAATGTCTCATCTTGTCCTACTTTGCTAATGCAGAAATGATTGCACACATTCTTCCATTAACCGCAATAATCGGCAGTCTCTTCAAACCAAAAGAATACATGAAGCTCAAGCTTTGATTTCAGGGGTTCGGTTTTGAATTTTTCCAAATGGTTGAAATCACACAATGCAATGTCCACTTTAATTTTCTCATGATTTTTAGACCTAAATGCACGAGCTGAGTGGAGTTGGTCTTGTAGCAATATGCCTTTTAACTCATGAATGCTTTAGTGTGCATGTATGTTCACACAACCTTTGGGGAAATTTCAGCATCTGTCCGTTAGGCATAATTAAAAATAAATAGTGATATTTACCTAAATGAGATAAACAATTAGTTAAAACATAGTCACATTTAGAATTTTTTTCAAATAATTGCTTTTAATATTCCTAGAAAAGGCTACCTCTTCTGTGTGTTTGTCTTTAAGCCATATTAAAGAGGTTATACATTCTATATGTAACTTCTTTGCATACAGTATGTCGAGAGGAGAGTCCCCTGTGTGCATGAAAATCAATTATTCATGCACATACCCACTCATACACGGACATTGTCCTACAGTTAGGGTGCACATGTCGTAGGGAATTCACAAACATTTAATCTGTTTAAGCCATTTGCCTAATCAGCTCTCCCAGAACAATACCATTCATAGATCCACAGTAACCGCACAAACACTAAACGCTGCACTTTACCAGACCGACAGCGGCCCCACCAAGCCCCCTGTGTTACAACCTTTTTTTGCCAAGTTGCGTCACTTCACACATCTTAGGAGGGGGGAAAAGGGACGAGCAGGAGGTGTGGAGTCTCTAGTGATCACATGATTTCAGAGTTCCCATACTCCGTTTCTGCCTTATCTACTGATTCTTGTCATTGTTGGATATTCTGTCAAAGCTTTGAACATGTGGGGAAAAGCAGGATCAGTGACATAAGTCATAAGTCATTTTTTCTCCTTTCCCATCATTTTAAAAAAAGTTTTCAAGTTTTTTACTTCAATATCTGCTCTAGTAAGGCAGCCATACGATGATCTGTATGTATTTTTCTGTGCAGTGAGGATGCTGGCTATCTGATTAGAAAAAGACTTCAGATAGAGGGTTGTGAATCTGAAGCAGGAAAGATGAGAAACAGACAGGCTGATGCAACCAAAAGACACGCAGAAAACGTGGAGTACCACACAGGCTTATCCTGTGCGATCATAACCGAACAGCAGATGTGCACACAATGAAAAGAGAGAATACACACAAGCAAATTAAGCACCGATACACGTGTATGCAACTACAACCAAACAAAAAAACTATGTTAAATCTCCAGTTTTGGAGGATTAACTAGGTTGTATTCATGTTTTAAACTGCTGTGCTGTAGACAAGTCATTCGTGATTTGTCACTCACCCCCCCCCCCCCCCCCAACAACATTCACCCACAAAGTTTTTGCATCTCTAAAAAAAAAACACTTCACCCAGTAGAGGCCTCAAGGTGGTAAAACTAAGCCTGCCTATTTGTAATTTTACTTTAAGGGAACGGGCAGTGCGAATAGGGTTACATCCGATTTTTAATTATTTTATTTTACTTTGTTTTAGGCGTCGTTGCTCTCGACGCAGAGATGTCACAAGAGTTTTGCGATGTGTCATCGTGCCTCAGGACGCACACAAAAGCAGCACGAGTTTCACTCATTTTTTCTTGGCTCTGCATGCCACTCTGCTGTCTGAAGACGTAGGTCTCCGTTCACAACAGCGCCGCCCACCGCCGCTATCAAACAGCCTTTTGAACAGTTCCTTGCGTAATTTCCAAACGACCCAGTTTTCCCTAATTGACCTTTTATACAGTAATGATTATTAAGCATCAGTTGATTTGTTATAAGGTTTTACACATGTGCAGAGCAGAGGTTATTTAAAGAGCCTGGGCCTTTGAGTGTGGAGGAATTAGTGGAGGTAGCAAACACTTCTTGGATCCTTTTTTATAATTATTCAAAAACTTCACCAGAGAGCTGTGCTTAGTTGAATTCCGACCAAGCATAATTCGTTTTCTTCCAATTTAAACATCAAATGTTACCGTCACCGAAACATTCAGGCGGCCATCTTTGTGCTTCTGGTTCTGTTAAACAGAGGACCCAGAACTTTGCCTTTTAATACTGATATTTTTGGACGGAGTGCGATGGCTGGGATGCCTTTAAGAGCAGGGGATTTGGATGATGCTGATGCTTAGTGTCTTGGCCTGTGTGCCTGTGTGTCTTGCTGCCTCTGTCTGTGTGTTGACTCGCTCTGTGTGGGGCTGGCCTCTGGAGCGAGATTTGCTCGCTGCATCTGGCCGATGTGCACAGAGATTTCATGGTAGAGCGAAAAGGAAAGAGAGAGAGAGAGAGAGAGAGAGACTGGGATATGAGGGATGGCGTGTGAATGTGTGTTCTCCATGTGCACTGAAGCTAACTGGAGCAGGGTGTCCGGGGTGTGTACATGCTCGCCGGCATGGCTGCGGCCTTGTGATACACAACCGTTCGGTAGGAGTGTGTGCGTTCACACGCACGTGTACAACTGTTACACAGTGAGCATGTCTGGAAGTGATGCATCCGTGACTCAGCTCCAGCTGCCAGGCGTATGTATCTGTGTGTGTGTGTGTGTGTGCGTGTGTGTGGACATAGGTGTGATTTAGAGTTGGATGAGAGTGTGACCAGACAGCTCATTGCCACCATGAGTGCCTTTTTTCCCCCCTGTTTTATCAGCTAAACCGCCAGTTAGACAAAAAAGGTATACAGTCATATATACGTCATACACACACTCATGTCTGTACTCATTTCTGTGGAAAATTGTAAGTAAACACTCTTCTCGCAACATACATATGTTGCAAGAAGATTGGGAATTGGGCAAAAGATCTTCTAAAGTACTGTCTGAGGACCTCTCACTGTTTTAACAATGTTAAATGTGTATCCAGTCTTAAAGGAGACATATTATACCCTATTTCAACAAGTTAAACTAGTTCCCTGGTGTCCTAATGTAATGTCTGTGACAAGCTTTGGTCCAAATCCCATAAGGATGAAGCCCAATAGCAGTTCAGTCCCCCTGCCTAACCCTAACCCTAACCCTAACCCTAACCCAAAACAGCCCCGTTCAGAGCGCTCGCTTTGGAGTGCCTGTCTCTTTAAATGCAAATGAGACACAGGCAATCCACCCACTCCTTCCGGGAGGCGTGCCAACGTCGGCACGCTAACGCTACCATGCTAACGCTACCTTGCTAACGCTACCATGCTAACGCTACCATGCTAACGCTCACGCTACCAGGACGTCTCCACAGATAGGGGAGTAAGCTGAGGTGGGGGGCAACATGCAGGTGAAAGGCTGGAATATTATAATGAGCTAGAGCTAATGACGTCAGAAACTACCCACTCCTGAAACCTCCTGATTTATCTCCTGGATTCAGACTGAGGCGGCCCACAAAAACATGACTGCGTCATTTTTTTTCACACTTTGCCTGCTGATAGGCCCTCCACAGTCCCAAATGTACATAATCAAATGATTAAAAACTTGGTTTTGCATAATATGTCCCCTTTAAATGTAAAGACGGTGGTGCAACAGACAACCTGACAAGTCCATAGTGCCTCATTTGAACTCATTGTTACTGTCTCATCGTTCCTTTTCCCCCAGGTGTAGCTGGCCAATGCCGGGGCCGTCGTGGACGCTTGGTGGCGGCAGTAGCAGTGGCAGCGTGCATGCGAGTGTGATCCCTGGTGCCTAGCCCATGTACCGCCCATAATGCCGTCGTCCACGCGGAAAGGAGTGCCGAAGGACCCCGAGTTGCAGGACCTCTTCTTCAAAGATGACCCAGAGGACGTGTTCTGCGACCTGCATGAAATCGGACATGGCAGCTTTGGGGCCGTCTATTTTGTAAGTGCCATCTCACAGGTCTGCGTAATTTGCTGTGGACTCACTTGTTATTGATTGGGCTTTGAGGAAGCAAACTACCAAAGAAGCTAAGTTTTCTTTGAAGTAATTGATTTTTTTATAAAATAATTATATTCCCTTTTACAATGCTTCCCTGGACTGTAAGAATGCAGCAATAATGCAGCCTACAGGCAGAATATATAAACTTTTACTACCACTTTGTGTCCTGTCCTGCATAATAATTGGTAATGTGGGAATATAGGTTTCAATCATTGGCTTGTTATTGTATGCTATTCTTTATTAGTTCAGTGATATATAGATGCATTTCGCCCCGTGGTGGTTAAGAGGCTCATCGGTGTCTCTTTAGGCTCTCAAATTAACCTCATTATCTCTCCTGACTTGCCAAGTCTTTGATTCTAAAACAGGATGGATGGGGAAGAGGTGTGTGAAAGAATGCTTCATTTGTCTGCTATACGTTTTTTTTTTTAATGCTCTCAGTTCGTACCCTCTTGTTTCCTCTCGTCTAATCCAGATGTAGGGCTGGGGGCAATAGGCTTCCTCCCCACCCCATAAAACATCTGTTCTTTTGGTATAGGAAACAGAAAGGTTGGTAGAGGGTTGGAATTTTCTTGACTGCCAGGGCTTCATTACCCACTTCTATCCCATATCAATCTGACACAGTCTATGCCACTCTCACACACACACACACACACACACACACACACACACACACACACACACACACACACACACACACACACACGTATAGCTGATGTGTCAGTCACTGTGTGTCTAACAGGCTCCAGTGTTGGTCTAATCCTGCCCTGATGCCAGAGCTGTGCTCACTGACACACTTTTGCTGTCTGCTTGCATTTCCACTGGCACGCTGCTCGCTGTTTGCCAGAGCAGCTTTTGGTAAATGTAGTTAACCCTGTAGCCTTTTCTACCACATAAATGTTTACATTCTTTTCCAAATTCCTTTATTTATACTTTTATATATTTTACCACTTTAACCCTTTAAAGCCTGATCCAAGAAAAATTGGAAGAATATTGGATTTTTTTAGTCTGAAGTCTTTCTTCGGCCCCTCGACAACATATGAAGATAAAAAACAGGAATTAATTTGATCAAATTAGCGTGCAATAAGTCAAAAATATATTTCCGTGTCTTCTACTGGCTGTTATCAGGTATATCTGAATGTGTACAACAGGGGTTTGAGCAAAGCTTTTACCACTGAATGATGCAAAAAGTCTCAGATCCAAAATACTTCAGAAACTGTGTGTATCAAATATGATACATTTGGCATTATAGGGTTAAGATCAACTTCTTTCACCAGCTAAAATTACATGCAGATTTGATCTATCGTATTTCACTGGGCCAACGTTGTAGCCTGTGTTTTTGTTTCTTTTATCTGTCACCCGGTAATCAAGCTGCTCCTAGTTTGTAGTTGTCCATTTGAGCACGTCAATATTTTTAATTATCAGAGCTTCTCTGATGGAGATTTCAACAGGGGGGGAAATCGATTGATTCTGTAAATCTCCACTTGAATTTCTGCCCTTTCAGACAATCCACTTTGGTGGATTCTACCATGGTGGAATAATTCTATATCACTGTGCGTGTGTTTGTAGTTTATGTGTGTTAAGGTTAAGAATGAACCGCATTGTAGGTCAGAATCCCCCTTTGAAAATGTAGACCATTGCTAAGGAGCTTTAAACACAGAACTGTTATTAAGTATTGTGGAATGGATTAGAAAATGTCTCTCATCCCGCAGTGACAGTTAGTCTGCAGGCATTTCAGTACTTTAGTATTACTGGTTCTGTTTCCCACCATCTTCAGAGCACCTAGCTGTGACCCGATCGAATTAATCTTAAGATAGAAATGTAGAAAAACAAAAAAAGTTGGGATAAAACTCTTCCCTGCTGATACTGATTTCACAAAATTCCCATTTAAACGTGGGACGAGGCTTATCCTGAGCTGTAGTCTTGTTGCCCCTGAGGCCAAATCCTTCCAGGGTTAGCAGTACAGGCTTCAGTATTTTAAAGTGGACTGACAGCTCACTCTCACTTTAATAAAGCTACAGAAAACCATGCAGAACTGCAGGTGAAGGTTTCACACACATGAGATTTTTTTTTATTTAATTTCAATTTTTTCAATTTCATTTAATTTGTTTTGAAACATGATATGGTTTAACAATGTTTACATTGAATGCTTCATAAACATGCATCATGTTTCAAAAAGGAGTAGGATGAAGCATAAGCTTATTAAGCCCTACCCCTCAGTTACATGTGTCATGGTGGTAAAGGACAATTATTTACAGTAAGACAAACAGTATACCAACTTTTTATATATTACTCTTTTTTGTATTCATCAAAAATACTTTTTTTGATTTTTTTGTGTTGTTTTGAAAGACCTTTTTTTTTTATTCATGAAAAATACTTTTTTTTTTGTATGTTTTAAAAGGCCATTTGCCTTTGATCAATAAGTATAATTGTCTTTTAGTGTTGTACAGTGCAGTATGCAGTGTTTCTTCTAGCCTCTGACATTTCAGCGTTTTGTTGGATTCCCTTTAGATTCAAACATTGTAATGTCAAGCAAGTATGTTACCCTGACCAAAGCAAGGTCTTGATAGATAGTTAACTTATAAATAGGTCTCCTGATATGGGTTATGGGAGGATAATTGTATGTCTTTTTTCTGTAGTTGACCTCAGCTGAAATTGACCTCTTCCTTTTTTTTTTTCTCTCTCAGGCACGGAACTCTTACTCCAACGAGGTGGTGGCCATCAAGAAGATGTCCTATAATGGCAAACAGACTACTGAAGTAAGAAACAAAGCACACGTGAGGTGCATCACCACAGTTTGGCTGGCTGGGTTTCTCTAACCAAAGCACAAAACGAGCTCAACCGCTTGTGGGCATTTAGTAAGGTCATGGCCAGACGATAGAAAACCGTAGCTTTGAACTTTGCAGTATGATTACATCACGTTTCATTCAAACTCGTCAATTGGTCAAAAATAAGGTGAAAATAAGAATTCATTGATAATGCTAATCACACACACACATATTTTGGCCATGCCCCAAATTAAATCAGTTTTGGAAAGACATTTTTGATGCCCTAAAAGTAAAATTCAAACAGGAAATCCCATCCAATATAGTCATTGCCTTATTGCGAGTAACACCTAAAACTATCACTACACAAGATGGAAAATATATTTTGAATACATTATTAACTCTAAAATGCATAACAATCAGATGGCTCAAACCTGAGCCTCCTTGCTACAATATATGGATTCAGAAGGTCTGGGATATATACCAAATGGAATATATAACATACTCCCTGAGACTACAAACACCCATATTCAATAAATGTTGGAGACCTGTCGTTCCACTAATTATGCAATAAGGTTTTATTTTTATCTTTTTTTCTCAGACTCTTGAAATCACCCTGTGTTTGTGTTTTGTTTTTTTATGTTTAAAAATGTAAAAATACACATGTACATTCGTACTACATTGTATTATTTCTGAAAAAATAATAAAAATGTTGTTAAAAAAAAATACAAAAATTGAAGAATTCATCTCGAAAAAAAGCAAGGCTTGGAGCAAGCCTCTGTCTAAGTCAACGAAACGGTTTCTCCTCACAAACCTATTTTAGAAAGCATGTGATCGCAGCTGAACTGGAGCCCTCATCTCTGTGGTTTAGTGCACTCTTTTTATAAACCAGCGAGGGATGGTTTTTGTGCGAGGACTCGTGCTTGATATTCTTAGACCACTCCGATCCGGCTCAGACAGAGAGCTAGTCTTCCCGTTTCTTTACTTATGGAGGGGCAGCGCCATAGAATTTTCCCGTCTGTACATACAGTACGCTTTGGTAAAATTCCTGGAAAAGCCATAAAAACCTGTGTGAGCGGTTCCCAGACTGGGGACAGCCGCGCCGTTTGCTGTCAAAGTTACAATGACAGCCATTCAAGTGACACTGTGATTGTGGTTTCTGTAACTATCTGTGTGTGAATGTGTTTTGGCAGAAATGGCAGGACATCATTAAGGAAGTCAAGTTTTTGGAGCAGCTCCGACACCCCAACACGATTGAGTACAAAGGCTGCTACTTAAAAGACAACACTGCCTGGGTCAGTAGATCCTTCTCCATATTTTTATCTGCTTCCAACCCATGCCTTTTCTAACTTTTTTTCTTAATATCTGACCCGTTTGTTACATTGTCTTAACAATGTAACCGCCGCCCCCATTATTTCCTTTATGCTTTTACCTCTTCTCGTGTTCCTCTCATTGTTTTTTTTCACCGTTTGCTCCTCCGTCTCTGCAGATGGTGTAATTAGTAGTGCCTCCATCTCTGTTTCTCAGTTTGAGACTGAAAACAGCCTCACCAGCTTTCATCTGCTTGATGTTTTGTACCTAGGTTGGTTTAGAATGCAAGGCTCATCATCCGACTCATTACTTATTCAGGTTTTTATTTCTGTTTCAGCTGGTAATGGAGTACTGCCTGGGCTCTGCATCAGATTTACTAGAGGGTAGGTATTTAAACAGATGTGTCACAATTTTATGTATTTGTTTTTAGGTGTCGGTTTTTATCCATTTCAAAAACAAATTCAACTTTCCACGTTTGATGCCACCCTTTTATAAGCTTTATGCTAAAATTAAGCCTCTGGATATACAAGGTTAAACCAGTTAAGTCAACAGACAGGTCGACGTATCGGACCATGTGCTTTTTTTTCATTTAAAATTTGTCTTCCACAGGTGTAAATGTCTTCTTTAGAATTTCTCTTTTACTGTCTGTATTAATGCTTCACAAATTTGAAAACCATCTGCTGCCCACGACTGATAAGAAAACCCTGAAACCTTCACCTAAGAGGCTTTGCATTTGCATAAAATAAAAAAAAGACTTTTAACCCTTGGTTCTCCTCACAAATGGCAAAGTAACACGCCGACACACAACCGTGCTGAAACACACTTCCCCTCCCTGGAAAGTTGTGCGTTTTCATTGCGCATCAGCCTCATCATCAGAGTCCAACATGAAAGGCTGAATCGCACAGCCTGCTTCAAGCTTTGAAGCAGCAAAGCTGATGCTCATGGGATATTATTCTGAGCTGCTGTGCTCTTTTGTCAGTTTAACTAGCACAAACAGTGTTGGATGGTGGGGTGTGATTTAAAAAACGTTAGATATTTTACCGTTATTCTTTCAAATGTGTCCAAGTTTTCCACCCGTACACTCACACCTGTGTTTATTCTGTTTTGTGTTTGTCAGGTGGCTGTTAGTTTTCCATCGAAACCCATAAAACCTCAGGTTCTGGGCTCATTTCCTGTTGTTATTGCTCTGTTTTGTAAAGCAAACCATAATAAATCTCTGACCATGGGCCCCAAAGCAAGATAAGGCCCCTATTGGTGCTTAAGCAAAATAAGCAAAATAAATCACTTGTATCTCTTTTTTCCATATAAACTATATATAAACCACAAACTGGTTGAGTTCATAATTGATACCTTTTAACACATTTTTTAAATACCAGATCCAATTACATAAAATCCAATTTTTCAAGCTTGAGCCTCTCAAACTGTCCGCCCTCTCAGCATTTCAGACCTTAAACCCACGTGTTATTTTAGGCACCTTTGTGTTTAGTCATGACTGACGTAGAGTACACAGTTACTATAGTAGGCTGCCGTCTGTTTTCAGGACTTTAACCTTTGTGAAATATCTCACTCATATCTCATCTGCAACTTTTTACTTGAACACATACTTTTACTGGTGTAAAAGTATGGGGACCCAACTGTTTATATATTATCCATATCATAGAAGCTAAAGAAACACTTTCCTAATCCCCAGCCAGTAGCTGGCACTTTTTTTATTAGCAGAATTTCTAAAACATCATTATCCAGTTTTTCTGATGAAACTTAAAGTATACTTTTATACTGTGAGGCATCTTTATTTACATACACACAGTTTGTATCAATCTTTTCATATTTTGCTTGGTGTGTTTGTTAATATTGAGGGTTTGAACTAATTCTCCCCCCGGACATATTTCTCCCAAGTTCACAAGAAACCGCTCCAAGAGTTGGAAATCGCTGCCATTACCCACGGTGCCTTGCTAGGACTGGCCTACTTACATTCCCACAACATGATTCACAGGTGAGTCGATGTCCGTTCTTGCTCTGAATATTTCCCAACAGGAGCAGGCAGTTATACATCCCAAAACATTTTTAAAAAATAAGATTAGTTAAGACGCACACACACTTCTTTTTATTGCAGGATCGGGTAGTCAAACTTTTAAAGACTCAAGTCTATAATCCAACTTAAATATCACAGTTAGGACTTTACAACCCTTCTCCAACAAAGGTATCCAAGACACATCTTTTGAGACTGAAAGATTTTTTAATACTGATGAGGCTTCTTACATCATAACAGACATTTTAAGAGTTCAATACACTGGTTAGAACAAGCTTTATGTCTGTGAATAAGCACGTGGTCTTTACTGTTTCAAAACTTGGGGTAATCCTAGGCCACTTTTCCTTTGTCCATCTCCTTTCACAGAGACGTAAAAGCTGGAAACATCTTGCTGACTGAGCTTGGTCAAGTCAAACTGGCAGACTTCGGCTCTGCTTCTATCGCCTCACCTGCCAACTCCTTTGTCGGAACCCCCTACTGGTCAGTATGCACAGAAAAACCATGAAATATTACAAGGTGCAAGTTTAGGTTCTGGTAAAAAACAAAAAATAACAAAACCCATATAAAGCGCTTGGCTCTTGACTTCTTGTATTACTATATGACTGTTTTTGGACTATGGGAGCTTCTTCTATTGTGAGATTTAAGTGTGAATCTTTGCACTTGGAAGCATTCATATCTCAAAAGATCAATGATGTGTCAGTTTTAGATGTGAATCACGTCTCAAAAAGCAAATACATTATATTGTTTTTTTATTTGACTGAGAAAATGAATGGGACACATGAGGGTCAGCATGGGTGCAATATGTGAAATGTCTGGCATTTCCCAAGTCATACCAAATTGGGTTTTTTTGTTTTTTTTCCTAACATCTGCTGTCTGCAAGCAGTGAATCTGCTTCTTGTCAATCTTTTTAGCCTTTTTCTCTGAATGACAAAAACACATCAACAGCTGGACGGGCTGAATGTGTTACACATTCACTGTTTGCCAAAAGGTTTGTTAATGTTGGCCAAAAGTATCCTGTCTCTCCCCGTTCACTAGATAAAATCCCCAGCCTTACTTTGCTCACCAAAATGTTTAGTCTCCCACCTGTGCCAGCTCTCATGGTAAACAAAACCGTCACTTAAGCGGCTGGGCGAGTTGTTAGACGCACAAAAGTTGTCACACAGTGCGTTTTTAGAAGCACATTCCAGAAACTGAGCTGCTATCACAGCATACCAGAGTCTTAAAAAGCTCTGAGAAGCTTAGCAGATTATAACATTTTCATGGATTTTCCTCCGTGCTTAATAGTCTGTTTATGTGTGTGTGTTTGCCTGTGTGTTTTTTTCTGTCCCTAGGATGGCCCCAGAAGTGATCTTAGCCATGGATGAGGGTCAGTACGAAGGAAAAGTTGATATCTGGTCCCTGGGAATTACCTGTATCGAACTGGGTGAGAAAGCATTGACTGGCTCCACATTCAGAAGAGAAATGGGTTTTAACCCTTTAAAGCCTGATCCAAGAAAAATTGGAAGAATATTGGATTTTTTTAGTCTGAAGTCTTTCTTTGGCCCCTCAACAACGTATGAAGAAAAAAAAACAGAAATTATTTTGATCAAATTAACGTACAATAAGTCAAAAATATATTTTGGTGTAGTCTTCTACTGGCTGTTATCAGGTATATCTGAATGTGTACAACAGGGGTTTGAGCAAAGCTTTTACCACTGAATGATGCAAAAAGTCTCAGATCCAAAAGACTTCAAAAACAGTATCAAATATGATACGTTTGTCACTATAGGGTTAAGCTGATTTGAAAAAAATAAATAAGTAAAATTAAACACACAGTGCTGCTTAGGCCTCTGCCTCCATCAAGGTGAAGCTGAGCAGTGAGTTTTAAAACTTTGCCACTAAAACAACCCTTTTCTTCTCTCTCCTCTTCGCATATGTCAGCGGAACGTAAACCGCCGTTGTTCAACATGAACGCCATGAGTGCCTTATACCACATAGCACAGAACGACTCTCCCACGCTGCAATCAAACGAGTGGTGAGTCAAACGCCCATCTTTGTTGAGATTACAGCTGTTTCTCCCAGGCTGTTTTCGCCTGTTTTTGTCCGTTTTTTCTCTCTCTTCCCTTCAAGTTCTGTCCACACGAACGTATCATGGTATTTTACGAACTACCAATAAAATAAAACTGGTGACTAGACAAGTACAATTCCTCCTCTCTGTCATCAACCTATCTTTTGCATATTTGTCTGTTTAACTGTGGTAATATGGCTTTTTTCCCTTTTTTTTGTTGCTAAGATGACTGTTTGTTCCTCTATTTGTCATCATATGAAAAAAATAGCCCGTTATGCATTACATTATGCATCTTTCAGCCTCGTGGGATTCATCATGACAGTGATGCGACTGTGTTAGGAATCCTCTCGGGGGTCTCTCAGATAATTAGTCCATGTGCACTGAAATATCTCGTACAGTTACCAAACATTTATTCTGTATGTGCGCATGCTTGGAATCGGCTTGTGCAATCTTGAAGGTAAAAGTGAGGGAATCGGAGGATTTAGTTTTTGAATTGACGCAATGTGCACTCATGTGTACAGGATTGCATTTCAGATTTTCGATACCTCCTTCTAACCCCTTTTTAAATTGCCAGCAAATTCAAAAATATATGCAGGGATTTATTAAAACATTTACAAACATAGATTAACTTATTTATGAAATTATAATGAGCTGGAAAGTCATTTGTTAGAAAAGCCTTCAGAAGTATAGAACTGTTCTATTAGTTTCTATTAGATTTCTAATTTCTATCCTGAACTGTTCTATCCTGAAGCTCTTCTTTGGATGTTGGCCACCTTATCTGATGTATCTCTATTAAGATGACCCTACATTTCTACAGTAATGTTTGGATATGTGGAGGACTAAACGCTGTATAAGAACCAATCCCACCAAGTTTCAGTTCAGTTCTTTGGATAACTTATAATTTTCTCACTGTTTTCCTTTAAATTGCACTTTGACAGTTATCCTTAGATGGAGAGCAATTTTCTGATTTTATAATGAGCCATCAGGGAGCATCAGCTTGTATATATACATATACCATGGAGAGGAATGTCAGACTTTTAGCACATTTCTCTGCCATTCAACTCTAGCATTTTTCAAATAATCTAATAAACAAAATGGGTTTGAACCCACCAAGTGTCTCTGACAGACCACTAGCAAAGCAACACAAAAATTTTAACTAGATTCATTACAGGTTCTTTGCTAAGTCATCCATCATGTATTGACACAACACTGGATCTTCTCAATTTGTGTTTTTTAGTCCCCAATGATTAATAGGTCTGCCCGAAGAATCTTGACAGACTACCAAAAAAGAAAGGATCGGATTGAATTTTGGAAAATACATTCAGAAAACTTGGAAAACTGTCATCTAAGAACACTTCCAAAACATTTAAAGAAGGTTTGGCTCCTCTGTATTGCATTTAGATTAAGTGTGTCTCAAAAGTTTTTCACAGTGCTGTTTGCATGGAGCAGAAGGTTATCCAGCCTGACAAAGAAAGATTGTAAAAGGAAGGAATAAGACAAGGAATTTAGCGAAGCAATAAATATTCAGGCATAATGATGAGTCACTGTCGTCATAAGGGAAAAGGCACTCATCGAATATTGATCTCATGTCATGGCCTGAAAGGGAAGCATGCCAGATCCTCAGCATGCAATTGTGCAGATGTTATTTCATTGTGTTGCAGTAGCTGCCTATTACTTGCTTACCAACCTAAATTCATCAATGGTCTTCCAATCTTAACCTAAAGGTTTTTTTTTTCCCCTCTTCCTGCCTCTAAAAAAAGCACTTCATGAGCGCCCACTTGGACTTGTTTCTTTTCTCTTTTTCTTTTTTGGGACGTCAGGGTTTGCTTCCTGTGTGTGGAGAAAACACCTGTTGAAAAAATCTGCTTGTTTTTAGCATAAAGCTGAGGCGGGTAATTGTGTGGGACTGGTCATGATTTTGGCATTTTTGGAGGAGCTCCAGAAGCACGAGGCGTGAACAACATCACGGAGGATAAAACTATTGGAGCAGTTTTTTTTAATCGTGGTCAATACACAAACACAAGGCCACACTCACAGATTACTGTACGCATAAAGGGAGTAGGAGATGCTAAGCTTTTATATGACCCGAAAATGACTGTCTATATTGATTTTATTAAGATCTATAAAGCTTTGAAGACTACTTAATCTATAAAAAAATACGAACCTTTGGTGTTTTAAAGCGTATTCTGTTTGGCCATATCTCTAAATTCCACAGCATTTGTATTTCTAATGCTCCACATACAGTATTTACACAATCAGTATGTTGGTATTTTGTTTTCCTTTTTTTCACTTTTATAAGTGACTGGTATAGTAAATAAAGTATCACACTGGAGATTACTCCTCTGTAAGCATAAAACATTAAGTGGAGTTAAGTGCATTGGTTGGGTTGGGTACGGGCTTCTATTTGTGTTTCGTTATCGCCCAAGTAATTTTCTCTGTTTAAAACGTTCGAGTACGAAGAATTGTTGACCTACATCCCACTATCCCCTCTGCCCAGGACTGACATCTTCCGGAGCTTTGTTGACTACTGCCTACTGAAAATTCCTCAGGAAAGACCCTCGTCGGGGGAGCTGCTACGAGTGAGTGGGCTCCCTTCTTAATCCACGCGGCGGTGACCTCACTTCCTGTGTTACTCAGTCCCTGAGCCATAAGGATGAGTCACTCCCATGCACCCACAGCTCCCAAATACGCAACCATCTACACAGCGTCTTTATCGGGCACAGGAGTGAAGCGCCCCGCTGAGAAGCGCTCACTTTTTCTGTGTTTTTTTTCACATTTCTTCCCGTGCTGAGTCTCGTAAATCCCTCGTATGCTCGTTGTTTCCACATTCCTCTGGACGAGCGATACACAATTTCCGTGCATAACGTGTATGCAGCTTCTCCTTTTGTAAACATAGCTGTTGTTTCATTGGATTATGTCCTATTTTAAGTATTTCTTCATGAATTTTTGGATGGTTTGGAAGTTTATTGTGTATTTAAGGAGAATTTTCTGCTTTTATACAATTGTAAGATGATGGAAATGACTAGAAATGAAGGAAGGGAGACTTCTTTTTCCATTATTTCTGTGTCAGATAGTTCTCCGTCATCAAAAATAGATCGCCACAGAGTAAGCAATAAATTGACCAATTTTACTCATTTCAGATCAGGTTACTATCTGGTTTCGTCGCTATTCTGATCGTCTCCCAGATTCCCAATGAACACACATCAGCATAATCCCTGAATGTGCATTGAGGTTCCCTGTAGTTGTAGAGTTTATCTTTTTGTTTTTGTGACCAGCAGGTAATCCCATTGAGCTGCTAAGCGTTTTATGTTCTTGGTGATCACGTTCTATGCTGCAGATCTTTTTCAGACTTTTGACACCCGCTTCGCTTTAGATGTGGGAATGGGGGAGAGATGGGAGGTCATGCAGGGGGGAGATCAGGGATTTGGGATTCACTTTTCCCGACAACTCTCACCCAAATCCTGAATAGGAAAAGAAAAAAAGGACCAAACCAAACCAAAAATTGTGTGTGTGTGGGGGGGTTAGGCTGTTAGTTTATGATTAATACCCTACTATCTCTTCTCAAACACAAACTCTCCCATTGACTGAACATGCATGCGCAGCCACACACCCCTTCAAGCTCTTTAAAAGGGAAAACCAGGTCACCAATCCGGGTGCGTGTAGCTATCTGTGTTCTGGCTTCAGGTGAGATCATTTCTCTGCTTCACTGAGAGTTACATTAATTGTAAAAACCATGACCGCTCAGTGACCTTATCTCAGAAGCATCTATTATTTAAGCAGACGGACCCTCTTGAACAACAATATATATACATATGTTCGTATTGCGATTGGAATTTGGATTCTGCAGAGGGGTTGAATTGTCTTCTGAGTAGTTGCGCTTCAATTCGAAGGACTCTGAGAAATAAATTTTCTCCGATCGATGGGAAATGGGTGGCCTACCACCCACATTTAAATGTAGGTCCGTCAAAAAACGGGACAAATCACTCTCATCTCTATTTTCAGAGTGTGATGTCACTCCCATGTGTCCTGACTAACCCATTACACCAGCATCTGTCACATGGAGAGGAAGGTGTGCAGGGAGAAAGGGGAGCTAAAAATAAGACAAAAAAGTGTACTTTTTAATGCGGCCTGTATGTTCTATTCTTGTACCCTCAGGTTGCATACAACTCAGCCATTAAAACACTTAATATTTTATGAATGAGAGTGACTCAGAGGAGGTGTGAATGTGTGTGAGTGGCTTAGTGGGAGGAAGCGTTGGTGAGAGAAACTTTGATGTATTTCTTCTATTTTTTATTATTTATGTTTAAACGCAATCTTCAATAAAAAGAAAAAAGGTGGACATACTAAAAAAAAAGTGGACACATCTCCTTTTTCTCAACCAGCCCATCTACTATGAATGTGGCATTACGTAGGTTAAAATAAATCAAATGAACTTATAATACCCACCTCCACCAAACTACACAGACATTACAGGAATTCTTCACTTCGGAAGATATCAGTTTGAGGCCTGGATAAGTTTTACTACGACTTTAAATAAAACTAACAATCCAATAATGTTTCAGCAAAGGTGTTCATTTAATCTTGGGTATCCAAAAGATGATTTACTTGAAGAATACTTTTCCTGCTTACAAAAGTATTCTAAAATATTTCTGTCAACAACTGATTATTTAGCTGCTTTATTTCTTGAAATGTTTTTTTGTCATAATTGTCATTAACTTGTTTCCGTACAAATAAATTCCACAGCTTCAATGAAAATGATTTGTGAGATTTCTAATCACTTGTTTTAAAGCATTTTTTCCCTGTCAGGAGTGTAGTAAAGTGGAGTACCTGGACTCCTTGTATAGTTTAGCCAACCTACAGGCGCCCTCTAGTGATAGCAGCAGTGCCAACAGAAGGAGCTTTTAAAGATCTACAAAGGCTATCAAGGAATTTGAATCTATTGGAATAAACAGTCTGCAATATTTCAGTTAAAGCTCCTTAAGAAGCAACAGAAATACAGTTATCCCTTTAACCTGACAACTTAAAACGAGTGCGTTCCAGGAAATTGGGATAAAAGGTTACAGACAAGAAATGATAGAGGACCTTGAATACAAAGATATGAATACACAGTTTAATTTTACTGACAAATGACTCATGCTTTGCCTTTTCTTCCCCCATCCTTTTTCAGCATGATTTTGTGCGTCGGGACCGCTCGCCACGCATTCTCATCGACCTCATCCAGAGGACCAAGGATGCCGTTCGTGAGCTGGACAATCTGCAGTACCGCAAGATGAAAAAGATTCTCTACCAGGAGAAACACAATGGGCCGATGGGAGAAAGCCAGGAGGAGGAAGAGGTGGGAGGGAAAGGACGATTCTGAAACCAGAAATCAGTTTCCATTTACTTAAGGGCTGTTTTTTTTGTTTTGTTTTGTCATGAAGAAGAAGTCAGACAATAATATCTATAAAAAGTATGATAATATCTATAAAAAGTATGATAATATCTATAAAAAAGTATTCCAGAGTGCTGGATCTCATTTTAAAATTTCAGGTAATTTGAAAGTGTTTATGAAAAGATGAGGCTATTCCCTTTTGAGATAATAACTTTGGTCCACTTGTCAGGGTGGTTCTCACATAATTGTAGTCAGCATCTTTAGTGTAAGTATAAATGTGCAATACAAAAAATTAGGTCAGGATTACCAGTCTAATTACCTTAAATAATCCCAAACCGTCTCAAAGAGTGACATGCAAGAGATTGCAAACCTTCAATTAGCTCTAAAATGTTATTTACCGTGAACAGTGCGATCTAAATGCAATGATCATATCCACTGTGTTAAGGTGTGTTAAGGTGTGGGATGTAACTTTTAAATGCACATTCGATTTTAAAACAGCTCTGCTTGTGTACAAGTCTCTTCATGGGCAAGCACCAAAATACATCTCTGAAATGTTAGAGCCAGACGAACCAGCTCGGACTTTGAGAACCAGGTTCTGGTCTCCTGATGGGGCCCAGAGTCTGAACTAAACCA